TGTTCTACAGAATGCCTTGTCCGGTCTAACAAACGGTGGAGTCAAACTCCTCCCTGGGGATAAAGTTTTTGACTTGGAAAACGCCGATGACATCGCCTTGCTGGGTGACAACACACAGGCAGTTCAAGAGGCTTTGAACTACTTGGCGATCGAGGTACCCAAGTATGGTATGTGCTTTGCACCTTCTAAGTGCAAATTGCTTGTTCAAGACTGGCAGGAGCCTGTGCCTGCACTCACCCTCTGCAGTAATCAGCTGGAAGTAGTTGAGAACTTTAAGTACCTTGGGAGCTTGATCGCAGCTGGTGGTGGTGTTGGGGACGAGATCACATCACGAATAGCAAAAGCTAGAGTAGCTTGCGCCAATCTGCGACACCTGTGGCGCCGCCATGAAATCCGACTGTCCCTTAAGGGAAGAGTGTACATCGCCGAAGTGCGTGGTGTCCTGCTTTACGGTTGCGAGACCTGGCCGCCCACGTTGAGGATGATAATCGACTTTCCGTATTCGACCACCGATGTCTCCGAGGCATCGCTCGTGTCTGGTGGGAACATCGGGTGAGCAATGACGAGATCCGTCGTCATATGTTGGATCTGGATAGTCGTTCTCTAACGGAAGTAATCGCTCTACACCGCCTCCGATGGCTTGGTAACGTATTGTGTATGCCTGCCCATCGACTACCTTTCCGTGCTCTCTTCGCACGTGCCAGGCAAGGCTGGAAGAAGCGACGCCGCGGTCAGACCATGACATGGGCTAGAGGCATGAAGACGCTGGCTTCAGCTTTGGCTTCGGTTGGTGCAGCCCACCTTCCAGGTTGGGGCCCAAGGGATGAGGACTGTCGTTGGTTAGAGACGCCGGGAGATATGGCCCAGAATAGAAGTCAGTGGCGCAAATGCTGTACGGTCTACCTGTCGAAATCTCGTACCCCGTAAAACCACAAACAACAAAACATTTCAAAAAGTGTGCGGTGAAACACAAAAAAATCGTTATTTGTAATCTATTCTGATAGTTACGTCTGTATCCCAACCCCCCCTCTGCGCTATTGTTATTGTTAATATTGTTGTGGCGTTGGCACTGAGCTTGTTCTCAAGCCGGTAATGTATATATCTGCGGGTATCCGATCTTTCAGTGAGGCCTCGGCTTTACTGCTTAGTACAATTCCTACACCTCGCCTACCCAAAGAGCGATCTTCATCGTCTCCTGATGTGCAAAGGAAGTACTTCGAGGACACACTCGGTGCACTCAGATGGTTTGTAGTACTAGAATCCTGAATTCGTGTTTCCAGTGCACAACAGACACCGATTTCGAAAGAGTCCATTGAGTGCGCCAGACACGCTTGTTGACCTCACATTGAAGTCCCTCGGATTGAGAGCTTGTCGAGGCTTCAGAATTTGCTAATTATTTAGTGTAAGCTACTTACAGTGCCATCTAGCAACGACTTTTGGCGAGTGGCAAACAAGCTGCCTGATGGGATGTTGTTGGTTGGAAGGGGAGACAGCGGACAAAGGTTGGGTATAAGAGACAGAGTTGAACAAAGGTTAGGATATCTGAGCAGTAGTCCACTTATCACTACCCACCCCACTCGATGCAATGGGCAGTGCAGTCCTGGTTATTCTGAACGACGACCTGTGCAAAGTGGAGTTTTTATTGGTGCCCGTGGCTCGTTAACCCACACAGTAGCGACATCCTTTGCGTTACTAGACACCAGCATATTCAAACATGCGGGTGTCAGTCACAGATTCATTTTGAAGAAGTTTCTTTGGTTGACTAATTGGAGTGTTCGGGTTAGTTCTATTCCCTCATCTGATCGCATTAGGGATTTATCGGAAATGCCTTAAATGTTAGTCATATGGTGACATCGGCGAGGAGGGTGGTCAATGCACCATTTTGCGAATTGAACTGGGTACCTTTGCTGCTGGAATAGATATTGGTTAGTCTTGTTTAGCACAGTTTCCATGTTCTGAGCTACTGCATAACTGAACCATTTTTTGTTACTTTTGGCTTTGTGTTGGCGCATCTTCTTCTTTCCGCTTATTCATCAGGCCTGTCACATGCACCAAGTGCGAATCCTTGTTCGTGTGTGCGAATCAACCTACTCAGAGGCTGCGTTGGAAGCAGCTGGAATTCAAGTTGTTGTGAGTTTGCTTTTTGTTTCATTGTGACTGCCCACGACTTTTGCGTTGTCCCCGGGTAACTTACATCCGGGGATCGTATTTTGCTCGCCTTGGTTTAGTCCTTGGAGAATATCGATCACACTGGTGCCTTCTACTCATTGAACCTTATACTGTCTACACGATCGTCCAACTCTAGGGGGACATGCACAAAGTGCACCGAATTTTAGCCTGCATAGATAGTAAAAAATACCGAGTATTTTGATACTTTGATCCAGTTTTGTAGGATAAAAAATGTATGAACTGTCACTGTGCGCGCGACTATTTGTGGGTTGATTTCACCTTTATCTGATTTCCTGCCAGATCAAGTCGTCCCTGGACATTTGCCTTGTGTTATTCCACATTTACTGGCGCTGCACATCGCAAACAGGTTTTTGCTCGTAGTTTTCAGTCGTCATAACGTCATTTGGTTTCTCAATGATAGAGTGTTCAGCGCCGTTATCTGTTAAAAGTTTTTTCATGCTAATCACACCTGTCAAAATGCACCAAACTAATCTAAATAGACCTTGAACTTTGGTGCAGTCTTTATCAGTCGTACAGTAAATATTTTTTAGTGTTCACCTTTTTCTGTTTACAGTGCGTGTCATTCTAACATGCATTTAATCAACTATGTTTTTACCGTCTCCTTCAGGATTTGGAATTCGATGATGGTGCCCCTCCACCAGATGCGGTCATAGAAAAGTGGTTCCAGTTGATTACCGAGCTTTGGCAAACGCATCCTGGCAGTTGCGTGGCTGTTCATTGCCGAGCTGGTTTGGGAAGGTCAGCATCTTTCTTTACTTGTTTTCTTCTCAAGCGGTTGAATTTTCGTTTTACAGTACAAATAAGTTTCGCTTTTAGGCACACACTGCGAAGTTTATGTTTCATTAATGGGCTTTCGATCTTGATAGTGTTGTTGGTGATCTAATCAGGGCCGGGGTGAGCGGGGAGCTTGGTGGTGGTGGTGGCGCAGTGGTTTAATAGATGTCACCCGCGTGATTTGGGCCGAAGTTTGAGCCTCGCCACCACCACCTCACTTAGGTGGTGGTAGGTGGCTTTGCTGTCGTTCGGGTCAATACTACCTATTTAGGCCTTATGCGGTTTTCATTATGAGTCCCGTGGCTTAGTTTGCTGGTTTCCACCAGGTTTCCACAGCAGGTGTTTGTGATTATGGAGTCCACTCGTCTGCTGTTCATCACGTAAATGTGTGATAAAAAAGCAATCACTTCTGTGTGCATAGTTCGGGCGCGAAAAGACGAACGCATGTCGCCTCTGCGGTGGTTAGTGTGTGTTTGGGTGGCCCATGTTAGGTAACCTCGAATGTGTATTCTGGTCCCGTTTGTTGACCTTTATCCACTAGATGACCTAAATGGTGCCTTCTATTTTCCCTGTACCTCCTTGTCTTAACCAGCGCTGTCAGTGTTTCTTCATCCGTTGGGATTCTAGTTTTGCACCGGAATGAGTAGAAGTGGTCAGCGTAAGCAGCCTATCTTTGTGGCGTGTTCGGATGAAGGGCAAGTCTATGAACACGCACTACAATCGAGCTACGTTGTAAATCCGCTTCACTGCACGCGTCAGACGCTTTTTCAAGAGGTTCGATATTGCATATCCTTGAAAAGGGACGGGTGAATAATTTATTTTTTTGAGCTTCATGAACCTGTTCGGATGGTGGCCTTTCCTGAAATTTTCCCTTCAGCTATTCACTGGGGGCATTTTCTCTGACAACGTCTTTAATTTTTGTCAGTTCTTCATGGCCCACACATTCAGGGCAGAATCCGCGCGCTCGGGATGTTAGACTCAGAATCGAATTTCTTTTCTGTCGAAGTAGAACGAAAGCTGTTATAGTTTGTACACTGTCCCGTCCGAGTTTGTTTGCCCCGAGTATTCAATGAAGCTCACAAATTGATCCATCCTACTTTGAGAACAGAAGTAAGCGACAAATGGACCAACAGACCTGACGATTCTCTGAAAAGATGATTCTTTGTTAGGGCGTCCAATACACAGGAACACAAGGTATCTTTCGGATCACTTCTAGATTGAAATCCTTGCATGTGAAGTTAAAAGCTGCGGTCAATTCAAGTCATTAATAATTGTATGCAGTGCGTTTCTATTTTGTGATCGGTTGTTTCTGTGATTAATCCGTTTTTTTAACTGATTTATTTGACTCGCATCTAATCTCTTCGCTTGAAACGGCATGTTAATACCTGCTAGCAGGTAAACGATTTTGTCGCGGTGGTGGCGGTGGTGGCCAAGTGATTAGATCACCAGGTTGTGACCCGAAAGTCCCGGACTAGAACCGCTTCATCACTACCCGTCTTCCCTATTTCCCCAAGCTGCCTTTGTATGACCGGAGCCCCCTTCCTGAAAGTTGACTGTACATATTTATATTCAATAAATAAAAAAGGAAGTAAAAAGTCTTTTTTTATCAATGTTCTGTGTAATATATCCTATTTGCAATATTATTTAACTGCAACCAACTAATTTCAAAAACGGTAATTACTTCTAAGATTTTCACTCGCAAATTTTCATACGCTCCACTGTAGCCTTCCATAGTCCGTGAAAATAATTCCTACAAAGTAGCGAAGATAAGCCTCGATTTTACTGCAGTCTAACGTGAGGGAAATGCAACTTGTGAAATCCAAAGCCTCAAAGATTGTGATCGGATATCAAGCTGAATGTCGCAGCAAATTCGTGATGCATATCGGTTCACGTTGTTGTTTTGTCGCTTTTGACGTAAACAGACCACCCGGGCATTGACTGTGTTCAAGTCTCGATTAATCTGCGGCCACAGGTAGACTTTTTCCTAGTTTTGCGCGACGGTACGTTGCACGAGAAGTGACTTCGGTATGATGTCATCTATTTTCCTTGATAACTAAGGAAGAATTCATTTGACAGACTGATCATTGGACTCTAGTCGAAATGCTGTTAATATTCCATCGTTTTGTTCAATTATTATTTCTACAGAGCTCCGGCACTTGTCACAGTGGCTTTAATCGAACTGGGTTTGCCGTATGATGAAGCTATCGAAATGATTCGCAGGTAAGCGTTATCGGCTTGGTGCTATTTATATATATGCTCTCCACTTTTGCATCGCTTAAGTCTGACCGCGCCTATATTGAATCAGTTCAACATAGGCGCCAGGGATTTCACTGTGGATTTGAAACTTGAGTGTGCACCTCTGCTTATATATAACGTTATTTTGGGTGTTTGAAAAAGTCGAAGTTATTTATTGGTCCTTACCAGTGTTCTGAATGACTCGGCAATGGTCTAAAACGTATTTGATGAAGTGGAATCCATACCTTTGTGCTGTTGGTTGATTTTGTTATATAGTGAAAGATACACCCATTACTGATGAAATAATACGTTCATTGTAGGCTATTTGCGATCGACTTGAATCTTCTCATATAACGCAGAGTAACCATCTGTTGTTAGCACCACGGTGTTCAATTCGAGAATGGTCCGCTTTCCCTTTCAAACCCCTTTCACCATCCATCCTTTTTAATGGGGTGTGTACTTGTTCAGATGTTTTT